GGGGTTTTGAAACTCCATCACAAGCCACCAGCAGAACATTCTGAAAAAAACCCGGAGTGTGGCTTGTATTTATAAAAGTTATTTGTTTGCATGAGGCACATGTGCTGATACTGTGAGTCATCCATCCATTTTGCTGTGACATTTTCAAGCACAATTATGTGTAGTGGAATTTTTTTTGGTAGCTGGCTATGTTGCCCATCTGTGAAATCATGATTCTGCCGAGCACTAAAAATAGAGATGAAACTCTTGAGAGAAAATTTTGAATCTACTTAAATGACAGTTTGAAATGTGTTCCTGCAGTCAACAGTTTAAATATTTTCTATCCTAAATATGGATACTCTAAATTTAAGGTGATGTAGTCCTGCTGTCACCACTTCAATTCACCTTGCTAGCACAGTAATAGAGCTGGAAATAATTTCTGGCTGGAAACCCGGTCTGGTGCCCACCGAAGCCAAATCACTTGGGCCCCAAAGGAGCAGGACTGGCACAGACATGCGAGAGCACTGCAAGGTGGATAACGCACGGAGTGAAAGTATTTATTAATAGCAGGGGATCCCTGGAGAAAAATGTGAGGACAATCCATGACTGTAGATCAGAGGGGAACAAGGAGAAGATGATTTTTTTCATTTTTGATGGCTAGGAAATGAAGCTTTGAGATAAAGAACAACAGAATATCCAGCAACTTTTAATTAGTTGTATTTTCAGTCAAAGCAAGTTGGTGAAAAGATATGGTAAACACTGAAAATAGTGAGGAACTGCAGCTAGAAGAGAGAGCTGCTGGAAGAATATAAACTGTGTTGCTGAGTAATAGCATCCTAATTGAAGCCACACAAAGCCAAAGAATCTAATTAGTCAGGAAAATACATTTCATTACATTCTTAGTAATTTGTTTTGAAAAAGTCCAACTGGATTTTAAATTTGACAGATTTCATTGTGTTCAGAGCAGATTACACTGTTTATACTTGCATATAGAGATAATGAAAAATATAGTTGCAGACTATATGTCTTTTATAGACATATATAAAAGAAATGTTTAATTCAAAATCATGTTTGCAGTTGTTCCTTGCTATCTGGGTACCATTCTATGAATTTCTGCAGAGGGGATGGACAAAATAAATTGGGCTTTTGTTGAGTTGGTAAGCAATACTGGAGAGTATCACCCAATTCTTTAATCCACTTGAAGCTTCAGCTCAGGCAAACAAATGAAAAGAGCATTGTCCATGCATCCTGCTGCCTTCCCTCCTTCTTTCCCTTCTTCTCCCTCATCCCTGTCACTCTCCCTGTCTTTGTACAAGTTTTCACAATGAGATTTTTTTTCACAAAACATAGAGCTAAATCTCCATCCAGACTGAAGTAGTCTTACTTCATTTATATTCACCTTTCAAAAATTTGTATTTCTAGTAAACTTACATGCAAATGATTACATGGCAAGACCTCAGTGTGGTAGGTTTCTTGTATCTGGAATTTTTTTTTCAAGTGCTAAATAGGAGAGAAGAAAATAAAAAATTATGCTTAGTGTCAAGATACCTTGGTCATGCAAATTAGTAAAAAACCCAATGATGCAAAACCATAAAAGACTATTCTTGCAGAGGACATATAAAAATTCAGTATTATATCCTCTTGAAAGTTCTTTTACTTATTAAATCTCAAATGTGGATAAGGTCAATAACACAGACAATTAAGCCTCCCTCTCATCATTTTTATCCTATAGTGGATTAATGTATTTTAAAATCCATTTATGTACATTTTTATCTACTTTTGAGATCCAAGTTAATGGGTTTTCAGAAGTCTGTACTTTTTATATTTTTCTATATAAACTACATCCACAATAACAATGTGCTATTTTAAGTTCTTTAAATAGTCACCCTTACTCACAGTGACATCAGAAAGGTGATATTCACCGATCTGGCATAAACAATATAAAGACATATTTAAATTTCATCATGGTCTTTTTTAAATAAAAATTTGAACTAGATCTTCAAATTCACACTGTAGCTCCATCATACTTTAGATGAGAAGAATGAAAATATAAATCTTTAGACAATAAGAGAGCCTGCACCTGAAAATATATACAAAATTAAAAGGAAATGCATAACATGGACAAGAATTAATCCTCCAAATCCTTGTTTGCAACATAGCCATGTTTCCTTAAAATATTCCTCCCATGAATAAGGTTAGTAATAGTTTAGTATATATTAGCATAGTAATAACTTCAGCTGGACTATTAGAATTAATAATGGATTAACCTGCATGAGTGAGAATCTCTCCCTTGTTAAGGATGAGGCTACTTCTGCAGCTTCCCATTTTTTATAAAATTACATATTTGTTACGTAAGTTCCTCCCACATGCATTGCAGCTGGATTTGGTTTTGCTTCCTGCAGTGATCTCCTTCACAGTATTGCTCCATGAGTTCACGGTGGCAGAAGTTTTTGTTAAGCAGGTTTATCCTTCTGCACAGCACCCTGAAATTCTTAATGGGCTCTCCGTGATCTCCCTAAGAGTCAGTTTCTTCATCTGCCTCTTTCCCTTACGCAGAATAAACCCCTGAGAAGTAGTTAGTGTTATCAAGAAGGGAATGATGGTAGTTTAGCTGGAAATCTGCAATAAATGTATTATAATATTGAATGTATCTAGTCCCTGCTCTACCAATCTATAACATATAAATGAAGTACACTGAGTATGGGGTGACAGATGGGGACATCCATATTTCTTTCTTTTCTGGACAATGGTTATTTCCATTCAAAATGTCATCACTTGTTGTAGTAGCTGGGACATATTCTAAAACATCTACAGAATGCTGGCCATTTCATTCAGGAGTGAGTAACCAATATCAAAGTGACAGAAAAATGAAGCAATCTTAGGGAAACAACTGGACACCAGTTTCTAGAAGAAGGGAAAACTGTTCAGAGAAGAATTGATGGCTTCAGTAATTACCACTTTCGTAACTAAAGACTATCAGTGTTCCTGAATACTTCCTCAAAAGTTTCTAAACAGACTTGTTTTTCCTTTTTAGCTCTAATTTTTATTTGAAAAGGTAGTAAGTAATTTGATCTAGCAATAAAGGGACAGTTAGCTTTTGAAATATGCACAATTATATCTTACAAGTTTGGACCAACTGTGAAATTTTTTCCTCTGTTTCATGGTTTTATTGATTTTGAGGAGCATTTGATAGCTTTCAGTACATATTGCTGTGGTCATTATAAGGACTGGGAGTTAGAAAATAGACATTGGTGAGGCCAAAATCAGGAAATTTATGAAAACATTTGCAAGGGAAGCAGTTTTTTGGGGGATGTTTTTTCTGTGTTAGACCCAGACCTTAGTAGATGTGAATTTCTCAGTAGTGCCTCAGTGCTTAAATTAATGAACCTAATTAAAAAAAAAAATTGGATGCTGGAGTCCAGCTTTGCCAAGATACTTCTTAGGTACTTGGTTTAAGCACTGACTCCTGCTAAGCACATGAGGTGACTTCTTCAGTGCCTGCAGTGGTTGTTAGGCAACTAATATTGATTTAAATACTTTTGAAAAATCTACCAAGCATTTTTGACACCTAAATATCTGACTGTTGAGAGCAGAACTGCTAGTTAATCTCTGGACATGTAAGGCAAGTACCTAAGTACATTAAGACTGTTTAAACTGGAAACACCTGCACTATGATGACACCTGTGAAGAGGGTGTGGTGCCTTCCCAAATCAACCAAACCTGCAACAGCTGAGCCAGTCAGGTCAGAAAATTGGAAAAGAGGTCAAGGTCAAGAAGCATCTGTGGAAGGCTGTTCTCTAAATCAGCCTTGCTGCTATTTTTTTATTTTGAAATTCTTTAATTAACAAAGGTAAAGCCAAAGAGGATAGGCTTTACCTAAAGGAGAGCTTCTTATAAAGCTGCTGGCTGGGCATTCTTCACTGAATCCCTGGAGAATATCAGCAGGATTAAGGTTTTATTGCTCTTCTTCTAATTACTGTCTGTAGATGTTATTTATTATTAATTAGATGGAGATAGTTGTGGATGAAGAATGGATAAAAGAATGTGTAGGCACATGAGTACGAAAGTGGCAGAGGAAAGGTCTAGTAGAAATAGTTTAATGGAAAACTTTTCTTAACACTTTTTGTCAAAGATAAAGGTTCACGCCCACCGAGTTTGACTGTGGCTTGAAATACTCCTTAAAAATATGTGGAAACGTTCATTGCAGAGAAAACAAACTATAATTTTGAAGCATCAGTTCTGTTTCAAATTGGAATTTATGTCTATAGTTCCTACCGGACTTCATTAATCACTTTTTGTGGTGATTGAAGCGCTGCCTTGCTGTAAGGAAAGGTGGCTGTCCCGAGTTTGCTCCTTTGTGGTAGCAGCTCACGGTCCCTCCAGGCACGGCGCTTCTGGGGCAGCTTCACCACCAATGAGACAAAACCTAAATGAATGTTCGAGGGCTCTACAATGGAAGGTAACCTAAAATGATATTTTCCCCCAAGTCAATTTATTTATTTGGCTAAACTTTGAAGATCCTATGTTAGCTTGAAGTCAGAATGACGGCATTTCAACAGGTCAGCGGAGAGCTCGGCGTTGGGATAACTCGGGAGTTTTCCTGGAGGTGAGGGCAGAGGGTGCGGGCAGGGACGGAGCGGGCGGGGAGCTTTGAGCCGCCAGGAGCGGGGACACGGTGCCCGGAGCGCGGGAGAGGAGGACGCTAGAGCCGCTGCCGCCGAGGTCGGTGCCCCGGGCGTTGTCGCTGTCCCGGCCCTGGGCAGGCGGCTGCGGAAGGACGGGGGCTCGGGCCGGGGCAGGCGCGGCGGTGACGGGGTTAAGGCGGCGGCGGGCGCGGGTCTGTTGGCGGTGCCGGAGCTCCGGGCGAGCGGAGCGGCCCCGCGCCCCCGCCCGGCCGCAGCAGCAGGTGTCGGTGACGGCGGCGGCAGCAGCGAGGGAGTTAAAGCCCGCGGCGGCGGGAGGAGGGGGACTGCGAGCGAGCGGGCGGCGGCGGCGGGAGGAGGGGGCCGAGGCGGAGCAGGCGGCGGCGGGAGGAGGGGGACCGGGGAGCAGGCAGCAGCGGCAGGAGGGGACCGAGGAGCCGGCGGCGGCGGCAGCAGCAGCCGGGTTGCTAGGGATGGAGAGATCCCGTGTCACCCGGATGTGAGTGTCATGTTGGCCCAAACTCTGAGGGATTTGGCAGCGGCGAAGCAGCAGCGGCAGGAGGAGGAGCAGCAGCAGCCCCTCGCACGTCTCTAGTCACTACCATGGGGGTCGGGTAGCGGGTAGCGCAGGGGCAGCGCGCACCTGGCTCGGGGTGGGGTTGGGGGGCGTCTCTGCCCTTTTTTGTTTTTTCATTTTCCTCTCACACGCTGGAGAAAGTGAGAAAAATGCACCAGCAGCCGCAGCCCGAGCAGCACCCTGAAGGTAAGAGCCGGGGCGCCCACCAAGGGCAGCGGCGTGCTTGGGGCTGAGGGGAGGGTGGGGGCGGGGGAGGATTTATGAGGGATTTGGGAGTCGGGGATTGGGGGGGATTAGGGAAGGGGTTGAGGATGGGGTCGGTTTGGGATGGGAAAGGAACGAGCGGCTGTGTTCGAGGAGGGACCGCGGAGGGCAGGGGATGAGGCGAAGGCGGGACAAGGTGCTGCCCTCGGCGTGTGACCAACGTGCGAGTGCGTTTATGCGCGTCTGTCCCTTGTCCTGGGGCCATTAACATCAGCTGCGGGGTGACACGGCTGGGGCTGCGTTTGCCTCATCCAAGTGTAACTGGGGCTGAACCTGCCCGGAGTTGCGGCTCCCGGGGGCTGCCCCGCTCCGGGCCGAGGGCAGGGCGGCGGGCGAGATGCGCTCGGCCCCTGCCCGGCGGAGCGCACGGGGGCGAGACGCGGGGCTCCGCGCCGCTAATCCGCTCCGCCGACGGGCTCCGGCGCTGCCACAGCCCCCGCTGTTGTTTATAAATGATTCCTCCCTCCTCAATCAGCAGCAAGTTTGTGTTGCCCCCGAGGAACGCAGTCACCCGGGCTTTGTTTCCCTTTCAAGCATCCATTTAAAAAGACGATGGCTATATAGATAGATGAGTAGGTGGGTGGTTTATTTGCGCCGAGCCACGTTTCATGGCATCCCGAAGGGCAGGCGGAAGGCGGGGGAGATGGCTGTGCCATTGCATTTATATCTGGGGGAGAAAAAAAAAAAAAAAAAAAAAAAAAAAGGGGGGGCGGGAGGGGAAGCAGGGATGCTTTGGGAAAATGTTGGAGGCAGATGTGCCACCTTTGCCCCCGCGGCGGCTCTGCCCCCCGCGTCACCCAGCTGTTGATGCGCCGCCGCTGGCCAGCGCTCGCCGCGCCGGTGCCGCTCCCCGCGGCAGCTCCGTGGGGGCCCCGCCGTGACCCCCCCACTCCCCGCCGCCATCCCGGGGAGCCATCTTAGGGCTCCCGCGCCCCCGGAGCGGGGGCCGCCGCCGGCCTCGGCCGCGTCCACGCGCGTTCGCGGCGCTGCCGTGGTCTGTGCCCCCCGTCTGGAGCAGGGGGGCTGTGCTTTCCCTGCCTCTCCGCTGCTTGACGGGGAGCGATTTTTCCTGCCCTGCCTGGGTAGATCCGTTTCACAGTCATCTCTCTTGCCAGCCCGAATTCCCAGCACGTATATTGTGCCGTTCCTCCATTTTTTCCCCCACCCAGGCATCAAGTTTTGAATCGCACTCAGGAGCCTCTCCTTCCTACAGGTGCATGTAGGAGTAGACTGTTGCGCTAGTCAAAGAGCTCGCGAGGAAGGATCCTTGCGAGGAGGTGGTGTTTTGCCTCTTTGCTGTCATCTGCATAAAGAGCACTCAATTATTATTTGGAAGGTGCAGTTTATTTTTTATATTCTCATGAAGAAGCAAAACCAAACACCATCCTTTTGCAGAACTGGAGCTTATCCTTTTACAGTGGGTTCGTGGTTGTGATTCCTTGTGCACAAGGCAGCCGAGCTTTGTGAGCGTGTTTATCACAGACAGTATTGGATCTTCGCTTGTGGGAGGCATCCACGCATTTTTCTTTGAGAATGCAAAGCAGGGCAAGATTTAACTTGCTTACAGATCTTCCCCCTCTACCTTGCTGCTTATTCTTAATTGAACAATGTGTAAGAATTTGGAACGACTATTCTTTTAACCAAAATAAATTGAGAGAGTAGTAAATGTGAAGGTGTTACGGCAAACTTGATCTTAAAGGGTAGGTATGGTTTAGTGAATAAACACGAGGACAGGAGGGCTTCCATCCAGTTAGAGAAAGACACTGTAAGTGGAAGAATCAAAATGACAAGGGTTTGTGTCTCAATACTTACATCAATCTTGAAGCTGTAAACCTGATTCCTGAGCATATTTCCTACTGTTCAATTTCATATACCACAGCACAAGTGTATGCATATGTATCTGTGCGTGTAATGCAAGCATCACACTGCCAGGAGCTCGTAGAACAATCTTTTTAGATTACACCATTTTAGTGTAAAGCAATTATAACAGAGTACTTTTTTCTTTTGTCCCACAGAGGTGAACTATGCAAGTAGCACCAGGATTCCTCTCCCTGGTGAAGGACCAGCTATTCAGTCAAACAGTTCAGCACCATCCAAGCAAACTGTTCTATCTTGGCAAGCTGCAATCGATGCTGCTAGACAAGCAAAGGCTGCCCAAAACATGAGTACCACCACAGCCCAGCCTGTAGGATCTCTGTCCCAAAGAAAACGCCAGCAATATGCCAAGAGCAAAAAACAGGGTAATACATCCAATAGTCGGCCACCCCGTGCCCTTTTCTGTTTATCCCTCAACAATCCAATACGAAGAGCCTGCATTAGTTTAGTAGAATGGAAGTATCCTTTGTTGCAGTTTGCTTTTTGAATGATTTTCTTACATTTTCTGATCATATAAAGGCGATTGTTTTACAGGATCTCTTAGAGCATCACAACTTACATGTTACATCACTTGTATGTGTGGGTAACTGTCATTAATGTCAATGGGAGTTAATTTGGCTTCAGTTGCTGTTAAAGATAGTCTCTTGTGTCATATTGACACAGAATATCATTTACTGAAGTAGGCAGCTCAAAGTCAGAGGAGAGCTCATAGCTGTTCCTTTTTTTTCTGGGAGAAGTTGGGGGAACATTTTCAAGCTAACATTACATTCCAGCAAATCTCTGCATTGCATTTTTTTGCCTTTCCAAATAAGGAAGAATGGATGGGAATGTATTTAGCCATCCAGTGTTAGGGAGATGGCCAAAGATGTCAAGCCTATATCTTCCATATTGCAATTTGGGGTACTGCCATTAGGGCAAATGAGTCAGATGTAGAAATCTTTTTAAAAGGTTGTTTTCCCGGTACTAAAAGAAGGGAAGATTTTTACTTAAGCCAAGGAAATGTTCTAAGTACACACAAGTGTCTGAAATATAATAATCTTCTGAGCCTGTACAACTTATGTCTACCACCAAAAATATTTGGAAGCACATACAGCTAGATGGGAGAGCAGAGATGCTGCCTTGTGTTCATGATGACCTGTGTGATGGGAAGAATGTCTTTTCCTCCAGTTCAGTGGTTATGGTGTGGAAGTATGTGCATTTCTCTGCCAGAACAGATAGCATGTTGGTATGCTATATTATTTAATTACCAACAGAAGCTTTGAAATAGGAAATAGTTTTGCTGAGGTATAAGGAGAAAAATGTTAGCCTATTAGCCATGGCAACATCCCTGTAATGGGAAACAGCTGTTCAAGACAGTAGATTACTGAAGTAAAACTCAATTTGTTACTATAAACAGAACAGCCAACCTGGCAATAAGAGCTGTTACTCATTTATGGGGTTGGCGTTTCTCAAATCTCTGTACAAAATTCAATTGCAAATTAAAGATAGTGAAATGGCTTCTTCTTTCATTTAAACTGGTAGAAGTCCAACTAATTTCAGTAAATTGGCCTCTCCTTGGCTAAGGTCAGGTAAATGAAATTACTATGGATCTGGAGTGGAATAACTCAGCGAGAATTTGTCCCAGCAGCACCACATCATAAAACAAGATTGTCAGTCTTGTGATGGTATCAATTGCTCGCTCCAGTCTGGAAAATGCTGCTGTAACTTTATTTTGTACACAATGTATCAGCTGTTCATGTTGATCTGCTTTGTAGACATAAAAGTGGCCCTCAAGGTGACAAAGTTTTACTAGGCCAGCAAACAAAGTGTAACACATCTTATAGGACATATGGGCTTTGCAGGACATTCCCCCCCCCCCCCCCCCCCTCCCCCCCCCCCCCCCCTATTTTTTCTCAGGGAACTTTTTAAACTAGCAAAAATATGCTTTTGAATATATTTAGTACTCTTACCCCAGTCTTTTATTGGACTCTTATGGAAACATATCCAGAAGTTGTGCATCAAAGGATGCCAATACAAGCTCCTACAGATAGGCTCATCTCAGTACCTCCATGTTTCTGGTCATTGAGAATAATAAAATACCTCATGAAAAGGAAAATCAATGACAAACAGAAGAATGAGCTTCATATGCATGAATTTTAAGAAAAGGAAGAATTTTTTTCTGGAAGACAGAAGGTATCTCCACGTTCCCACTGCTGTTTTCCAGCCCTCATATAGAAAGCAGAGCTTCAGTCCAGGCTGTTGTCCATGTGGAAGTCTGTAGCCTCTCTCTGTGTGGCTGCCAAGCCAGCCATGATATACTTTTTTCTACTCACCTAAACTTGACTTGGCCAAAGCCAGGATTCAAGAAGACAACTGCCAGAGACATGGAGTGCCACAGAACTTTCCTGTGTCAATTGTACAGATTTCTAGCTCTCCTGTAAGAGAACAGTCGTGGTTTTCTGGGAATCTTTCTCATATCCTATTATGAGCTGTATTTCCAGTGGTTTTCCTCCTTTGGACAAGTGTATATTTATGAAACCTTTATTTGAGGACAGAACAGTTCCATGAGTATTCCTTGCCCATTATGATGACCTGCATGTAGATTTAAGAGTGGATAATTATATTCATCTTTGGAATTTAATGTAAAGTGCTCTGTGACAGCATGAGTAATAGTTTTCAGTCTTTTCAAAAGGAAGAGGACGTTGAAGGATCATTGTGATGGAAAATAATATGGTATATATAGTGCTATAACTAAAGGTGATGGAGTGTTTGTCAGAGTTATCAGTCAAAAGATTGCCTTAAAGCAAAGACTTGCTTTACCATTGTTGGTGCTGGAATGGAGAACTAGACTTAAAAGTTTGCAGATACTCATAAGCCATGAGTTCCTTAACAAGATTTTCCAGACCATTTGACATATTTATACTACTGTCTATTTTTGCCAATTGTGTGGCCTTAGCTATTTACATCCCATTCCCAGAAGATGATTCTAATTCAACTAATCATAATTTGGTAAGTAATCTTGAATTTTTATTTTTTGTTTGCTGTGCTTTTAACATGATTAACTGCTAGTATTCGAGATTGCACCAAATATAGGTAATTTCAGTAAAAAAAATTGGTATACAGTGATATATAAAAGGTATATGGAATTGCTTTGTGTTCCCCCCCACCCCCTGCCCCAGTATTAAGTGTTACTTTGTCATATGTTCAAAATTAGGTTTTTTATCAGTAAAATTCTTTGGAAAGAAATGTGCATTAATATGCTGTGTATGTCCATGTATCTGTGTGGCAAAAAAGTTCTAATTTGTTTCCCTTGCTTATATTGATTACATATATTTACTAGCTGTTACTGTTTCTGACACTTGTTTCAGTCTTGAAGGTTTACTGCCTTTTCTAGTGTACTTGTCTACTCTGTTTGCAGTTTTTAATGGTGTTATTTGGCTGTTTATTTTACTGGGTATTTTAATTTTTAATGAGAGGATGGTGGGAGATTTTGCATTAATACATTTTAAAGTGATAGGAACATCAGTGTGAATTTTCAAAACAAAATGATCTTTCAAAAAAGGGATGGTATTGCAGTAAGTGGTGTGTAGAGATGTATTTCTTTGGTTGAAAATAATATACTATGGTTGTACTTGAAAAGATAAAATGGAAACTCATTTTTAAAAATTCTCTAAAACTTACAAAGGCTGTCACTCAAGGGTAATATTGAATTACATTGCAATGCTTTTGTTGTTTATATTAAACTCCTTGAAATGGTGGAATGGTCCTGTGCAGTCATAATCTGCATGTGACACTTTGGATGGGAAAGGATGTTCATGAAATAAAGAATTGGGTACCAAGAAGTAGATAATTTTGTATTCATTTACTTGGAAAATTAGAGTTGATATGAGGTCTTCTATTTTATGGACATATTTGTGTAATTTGTGGTGTGTATATGTTTATTTTTCTGAAAATAATAATTTTGTGCAGATGACTTTTTTAAAATTGCAATTAAGTAAATATGGACAATAAACATTGCTGATGAAAGGCAGAATAATTCAGGTCAGTGTAAAGAAAGGGTTATGCAGCTGTGTATCCAGCCAACCTACAGACTTTCTTTTTTTTTCCCCTGAGAAATTCAGGGCACAAATCTTCATAGCTGTCAGTCCACCCTGAGATCTGCTAATAACTAATTTCAGAAAGCATTACATGAAAAGGGTAAAGTAGTTACTTGTGTCAGAGGCTAATCATTTTGAAAAATGTTTCTAGCATTAGTTTTGTTGGGTTACTGTCTGGTGTTTCTGACCCAATTTCAGTTCTACCATGTGCTGGTGTTTAGAAAGACAATGGACATTTTCATCCCTGATGATTTATTTTTTTATTTGATGTGGCCAGGCTAGTCTAAAGAATAATAATTTGGGTCTTTTTTTTTTGTCTTTTAGTAAGAGATTCTTAAACCTTATCTATTTTAAGTAGAAGGGCACTTGAACCCCTCCAATTATATGTATATAAAGTTTAATTGGCCGTTAAATGATCTCAAATTGTCATTTAAATTTGCATCCTGTTTATCCTGAAGTTGAGTCATTCCACTAAGTTTGCTCAAAGGGCAGAATTTATACTGGCTATGTATTCTGAGCTGCTGGGACAGATTTAAACTCAATAAGGGAGCACACAGACACATCCTGTGTGTTCAATCTAATAAAATGAATAGTTCTGGAATGAGCAGCGTTGGCTCTTCCTATGATTGGGGTTCTCCACCATGAAATATGTTACCCAGTGGTCTGGGTCCACGTCTCTCCTCTGGTGTTTCACTGACAATTTACCTTGGTTAGTGTGGATTCAAGTGCACTATGAGGGAATATAGTGGAAGAGCTGAGTGAGAAATCTTCAGGCTTGCTTGGGAGCCTGCTGGATCCTGTGTTTCCTGCTGCTTGAGGTGTTAGTGTCAATAAGTGTTGGAGAGAGGACTGTCTTACAGTGGGAGTAGGGATTATTCTGTCAATACTGTTCAGACCTTTCATCTGGTTTGTGAACTGACCAAATATTAATCATCATTGAACCTTATAGGTTTGGCAGGATTTTGGCTCCCTGCATGCAGACCTGAGCCCTGCACTCTGATCTTGCTAGGAGACCCCACTTTGGCTCTAATTCAAGTTCATCTTCATACATTTTAGTTTGCATATGGATATTATATCTAGCTTGGTTCTCTCAATGTTGCTGCATTAAATTGAATAGATGAATTGCTTTCCATCAGCTAGCTGAACTGGCTCCTTTTCTTAATAATTTGTAAACAGAAAAATGAACTATTTATACAAGTGGGGTTTTTCTATGGATACGAAATAGATATAATTTGTAATCAGCCTCAGGAAAAACCAGTGGAACACTGGTAAATGGGAACTAGGAATGTAAACTTGTCCATTTTTGGTTGGGCTCATGAGAAGGTAAATATGTGAGAATTTAAGCAGACCAAGTGTTCATTCTTTATGACTTAAAAAGTTTGCAGTGGCAACCTCAGTGCAAGGATGTATGTGCAGAGCAGGTGGTCACTCCTCTCTGTGGTGGGAGGTTAGAAGGCAGAGGCTGTATGATGGAGTTTCCATGACTTGTAAAAGAAACCTGAGAGGGTTTCTGAGTCTGTCTTTGCCTGTGGCTGAGCCAGGGAACCACTGACCCTGTATCAACCACCCAAACTCTGGTTGTGAGTGAGCCATGTTCTCCCTTTCCCATTAATGCTTCCATGTGTGGTGCCTAACCAACACAATCACTTATATGCTGCAGTAGTAATGGCAAAATGAATTTTATAACCAAATATATAACAAACATTGTAAGAAACAGGTATATATGTCTTAAGAGAAATAGTAAATCAAATGCATACTTATGTAATTTTTAAAAATAGGCTGTATCTTAGGTATCATTTATTATTGGAAATGAATCTATCTTTAATCCTGAATATCTTAAGATAAAGGTCTGTGAGAGGGTTCCAAACCCTTCCTTTTGGAACAGTAGACTATTTATAGAAAACTGATATGCAAGGATGGTTTCACTGTGTGTTTCTGTGTTGGTCACTTGTCTTTGATTTGCAAGTTGTGATTGCTGATGTTTTTGTGACAGAGCCAACAGCATGCTATGTATTTATAATATATTGATATTTATGATAATTTAGGGAAGAAAGAAAAGGTTTTTTCAGTATATTGGTGACTGAATTAAGCAGATGGTAATAATAAGCAATGATGTTGTAGAAATAGGAGTCCCTTTCATTATTAGTTTTTTTTTTTAATATGTCTTTTTGTGTTCTGAATGCACAAGTTCTGGTTTGTGTTTGGCCTTTTTGCCTGTCTCTGGGATCAAGGGTGCACTACAGTTACCTCCTTGCTCAGTGGATTCATGGTCATGCTTATCCTCTGTCAGGCTAGAGGTGTGAGTAGTGAGTGATACAAAACAATGCATTCAAACAAAGCAGAAGTCAGAATCAGATTCAGATTGGGCTGTGCTTGCCCACTTGCCAAGTGTTACAGCCCTGTGTTCTATGGGAAATTTTGTGTAATCCTTTGTCTAAAACACCTTGATGTGTCTTTGATATGTGCCAGGAGAGGCAGAAGGAAGGGATCCTCTTTTCTGTTTTTAACTGGTGTAGTTCTCTCATGGCTGTGTGTATTGCATGGACTGCAGTACAGAGTGATGCACTTAAGCCTGAATTCTACTTCATTAATAATGAGCCCCCAATCACTGAATGTACTGACACAAGTGGGCCCTATTCTTCTCCAAGTAGATGGGTGAAACTATTATGGAACTGGGAAGTTTTCTGTTAGTGCAGAGCAGGGGCAATGTACTTTGGGATGAAGTCCTGCTTCGTAATTTAAAGTAGTTTCTTTCATCTGCCTTCAGAAGTTTCAGGTGATCTGAACTTTCCATGCTTGATTGAGCTCTTCTTTTTGGAAGTGTTTCCTGTCTGAGCTTGATAAGAAGCAGTTTCTAGCAGAATGGGCTTACTGTGTATATATGTTTTATTTCTGTCTTTTCCTTTATTCCTCATGTGTGCTATCTTATTTCCCTTCATGTCTTTTGTCTTTAACTTCCCACTCATTCCTTTCTTGTTATCTTTTGCCTCTACCCTCTGGCTTCCCTCTGTGTTTTCTCTTCTGTTTGTCCTCTTGTGCAGCATGCTTTTCTCTATCTCCTTCTCCCACCTCAATTTGTCTTCCTGGTGTCACCCTGCTGTCCCATGTTCTGTTCCGTGCTTTGCCTCCTGCTGCCTTTCTTATTGCCCAACTTGCACTGGACTTTTTCCTTTATTGTGTGCAGGCAGACCAGCAAAATACAAGTCTGGATTTTGGCCGTGGTCACGACACTGTTGGTTATTCTTTTTCTTTCCTTCTTTTTAATAAGTAATTATGAACAGTCAGAAGGCACCCATCCATCCAGAGTTGCTGACAATGGCACCCCTGAAGTTTGAGTTGAATTTTTGGTTGCACTGCATCTCTTGTGACTAGACCCCCAAGTTTGTGTGGTGACACTCTTCTACTTGAGAAGAGATTGACAGCAGAGGCAGGGGTGGGAGACCCAGCTGTGTAAATGACAGCAAACTGGCAAAGTCCCATGAGTAAAGAACTTGCCTCTAGTGCACAAAGGGCCCCTAATGTTAATTACAAGTCTCTGTACCCCGATAACAGGATTCTTCAGCCGTGTCTGAGTGCCACAGTCCGTGGGGAAGCCTCTGAGTGAGGCCATGTGCTGAAGGCTGTCTTAGCCTGTGCTTGCAGGGCAGGACAGTGCTGATGGCCCTGGATGCCTCTTCTTTATCCCAAGGGCTGGGAGAGCCGTAGTGGGGGACACTGCTAGAGAAAGGAAAGGTTTGTGTCCTATTTTCAGGCCAAGATTTCCTCTGTAAGTAGCTTTACGTGGCTCTTTGAGTCCCTTCAGCAGGAGGAAAGCCAGTGTTGTGCCTTCAAACTAGGGCACAGCAGGAGAGTACTCTGAGAAGAACCGGCTGAACTCTTGACTTGGAGGTGTCAAGCTTCCTGTCCTTATCT